CCTGTTTCCTCTGATGCCTTCTTCACGTATTCCTGTGCTTCCCTAGATATGGCCCGGTGTTCACGCCTTTGCACAGGCCTTCCCCTCCATGGGGATCGCTTTCATCCCTCACAACCTTCAGAAATGCCATTCGTCCTCAGTGTCCTCTGCTCCCCCACCCTGGCCCCAGCCCTGCTTTCTTCTCCATTTCTCTGGCACCTGCTATTAGATCACTTGGGTAGATGACTTAGTTATTCTACTGAAAGCAAGCTACCCATTCTGTAAGTACAATAAGAAATAGTTTTAAGTTAAAACACCAAATTTATTGCATAATATTGAACTATATGCACACACATAGAAAATAAACATTTCATATAACTGTATATCTTTTTAACCTTGTATTATAAAGACTGAAAAACTACCAATTTAGCAATTGGAATACGTTTTAAAAACAGAAAAACAAAATCAAAAATCTACAATCCTTCATTGAGATTTGATGCTATATCAAGGTTCATAAATACTTCATTTTATATAAATAAGTCTTTCTCTGGTGACTAGGAATTTAAAATTAGGTTCACATGGATTCTTTGACCATGTAGAACTTTCCTATCCCACACTGAAGAAGGCTGAACATGTCATTATTTTTGAGATACATATATTTGCTTTAAACTCAATCGTCCCCCCAATCCCACTGTAAACAAACATTTCAAACGGAATAAAGGAAATTTCCATAATAAAGAACATCCTTAAGTCTTAGCAATTAGGGAAGAGGAAAAACATCTGAGTAGAAATTTTGCGATTTAAATAGGAATAAAAAAATAGACTGCATGCATCCATTAGGAGAGGAGAGGAAGGGAGCATTAAGTCGGGTAACAAAGAATGGGATGAAGTGACAGAAAAGTAAAGTAGGTAGGGAAAGGGTAGGAAAAGGAAAAAGACGGGAGGGAGGAAATAGACAGTGGTAGAGAACAGAACCAGAAATTTATTATTTTTACTTTTCTTGGAGGAGATACTCTAAAAAAATTTAATGCAACTTCCTCCAAAAGCAAGATAAGGGAAGGGGTTGGGCCTTACCACCTCACTTTACTGTCAAAAGGAACTTGGCTGAGCAACAAAACAAATTAAGCTCAGTTGCCACTCTAAGCTACTCTGCACATCTTTAAGGAGGTCCAGGAATAGGGAGAGCCATGAGACTGCTAATCCCTCAAGGCCTTTTTTTCTTTTTTTTTTTAAGCAAAATGTGTTCATAAAGGCTCCCTTAAATTCTCAAGAGTTCAGCCAAGTAGTGGACCCAGATTTAGTTAGTTGAAATTGGGAATTTCTGAAGTAGTCCTTTCCTCCTAGTCCTTAGAATAGGGCTGCAACAAGCCAGGGCGAGGAGACAGTCTGTGTGCGCAGGTAAGAAAGGACAGATCAGTCAAAATCATTTGTGCAAAGGAATGAGAAGTTAAGAGAAGGAAGAGGAAGCACTGTAAGGAAAGATCAGGGCTGAGAGACATTTGGGAAATGAGAATTTAAGAATCGCTGCCATTTTATCCAGCAGAGTGCAACATATTCACAAGTGCAAGGAGCACTCAGTGATTTGATTTAAAAACAAAAACACCTCTTAAACAAGAGCCAATTTTTCACCCCATCCCCAACCCCTGATTTTTCAAGAAGGTTGCTTACTGCATACAACCCCAGAAACACACCAGGTTCAGGATTCAAAAGTCCCAACACACTTATGCAATAAAAAAATAGAACTCACTCCCCATGATTTTCTGTATAGGCCTCAATGTGGACACTGAGGAAGGAAGGGGAATCTGGGGCAAGCTGGGGGACCTCAGGCCAAACTAAACCCCTCGTAGTTGTCCAAGGCCTGGGTCAGCCGCGCACTCAGGATCTCTTTGCTGCTGTACTTGGGGAGGTCGAGAAGGTTATAGCAAGTGTGGGCCACGGGCAAGTACTCCTCCCCGCTGGCTGTGGACTGGATGACCATCTGCAGGCTGGCCATGCCGTAGATGGGGATCCGGTCGCTGCCTGTCAGGAACACTGGGGAGAAAGGGGACTGGCATTACTAGCTCTGCCAACAGGGAGCAGCGCTCAGCAGTCCTCCCAGGAACAGAGGGGAAAGCGTGACACCCTGTGGCTCGTGTGAGAAGTACAACTACTTTTATGTGCCAACATGTATATCATTAATATTAATAAATGCTCATTCATATAAAGTAAAAGAGACTATTTCAAACCCTCTTTTTTGGTTTTCTACGAGTAAGAATTCTATGCTATTCACTGGCTAATTTCTGACCTTGATTATACATTGACACAAAGATTTCAACTATTTTTAAAAGGCTAAGTTTGTTCACATAAACTAGAGTTCATGTTCCTTTACAAACTCTTCTCCAATGTCAGCCAGGTAGTCAGAGAGGACCATCTATTATATCATCCCATTTACATGAGATGTCCAGAATTGGCAGATCCATAGACAGAAAGCAGATTGGTGAGGTGGGGGGGGGGAATAGGGAGTGATTGCTAATGAGCATGGCGTTTCTTCTTGCAGTGATGAACATGTTCTAAAATTGTTAGTCTCACAACCCAGTGAATATACTAAAGAACCACTGAATTGTATGCTTTAAATGGGTGAATTGTATGGTATGTGAATGATACCACGATTATAAAGCTAATATAAATCACACCTCCCAAGTTACACAGGCAATAGACACTTTGTAATATTTTCAAAAGGCTAGACAGATAAGGCAAATTAATCCAAACAATTAGATTTCATCAACATGATACTTAAAGGAATCACTAACATAAGAAAAAAAGTGTTTTTAGAGCAACAACTAGGAATTAATATGTTGTGCCTGAGATATCAAGACAAAAGTATAAACATTTATTAACTGTTTATCACTTAAAAGAGTTAGAATTTTACTTGTGGAGTATACCTAGTATCTAACGAATACCATATTGAGAATCCTGATACTTACAGAGAAACTTCTTCTTCTTTTCCAGTGGAAACTCATGAAATGTTTCCCAAAATAGTTTCACAGTGGGATGTGTGGCTGAGTAATCTCCCTTGTAGATGGCAGTCTGCCCCAAAAGACAAAAAGGAAAAAATGTATCTTATAGATTAGAAGATTATAGTGGACACTGTATATACCACTTGCATTTAGATGCAGGAGAGTCCTCCAAACCCTACACTTGGAAGACGGGCCTCTGGGCACACCTCCCCAGGCCACTGCTGCTTCCTTGGAGGGAAAAATATGCTCACCTCTTCCAGTTCCTCCCAGTTGTAGTTGCTGTTCCCCACCATCATGGCTCTTAGTTCTGAAGGCTGGAAGAGCTCAAGCACTTTGCCACCACACACCTTGAGGAAGCCACTGGAAAACGCTGTGTACCATTCATGAACTGAGATTTGGAAGATGTAATTCACGTAAGCATCCACAAATTCCTGCCTGCCAGAAAACCAAAGAAACAGCACCTGTTTAGCCCAAAGTCTTGTAGAATTAATCCAGTTCCCCTTTTACACTGAGGTGGAGTGTGATGAAAATGGAATTTCATTAAATTCTCATACCAGGAGGCATCCTAAGGCATTGGGTAGGTTAGAAAAAAACAAAAACAAAAACTTTTTCTGCTAAAAGAAAAAAGTCTAGGATAATGGCTCTAGGCTCCTTCCCCTTTTCAGAAACAAATAAAGCTAAGCCATCTGATATTTGTATGTTCACATATCTTAAAAGTTAATGTCATAACTCCTTTTTTTTTCTTCACAGACGTATATAAAATGCCCCCAGAAATTCCTCTTCTCACTTTCAATATACACAAGCACACAGATGCGATCATAACTCCTTTCTATAAATCTCTTAACCACCTCTGGAAAGAACTGTCATACAGTGGCTCCATCTCACTAATAATAATCAATCAAACGAAAAGACAACAGTGAATTCCCATTTCACCCACTGGACTGGCATAAGCTGTAAAGTCAGAGAATATCGATGGGACGGGTAAAGGTGTGGGGAAATGGGAACCTCATACACAGCTAGTGGGAAGATAAGGTATGAAATGAAAATGGGAATCACATGGAAATAAACAAAAATCGTGAAAAGCCAAGGCAATTTATTCAGAAGTTGCTATAGCAAAGGAGTCAGCCACTATCACTTACGTTTCAGCAGAGACTCAAAAACAGGCCGAAGGTGGAAAAGCATCAGAGTGGTAAAAGGGGAGGCTGCTGGCATGGGGAAGCTGGGGGTGGGCTAACTAGAAGCGAGCATCCTATGTGATCGGTCAGAGACGCATATTTTGCTTTTTCTTTGTTTTGGGGTGGGGGGATGTTGAGGTATAATCAACATTTAACATTAGTTTCAGATATACAACATAATGATTCCATAATAATTCTAGTTAATATCCATTGCCATATGTACTTACAAATTGTTTCTCCCCTTGGGATAATACATTTTAAGATCTACTCTCTTAGCAAGTTTCAAATATGCGTATTTTGCTTTTTTTCTGATTGGCCTAAGTTGGAAGAAGCTGTCAAGTGCTGGCCATTCGGGGCTGACTGTGTCAGGAGTTACTGAGAGGCAAGCTGGCTGCTTGTTGCGGATAAGGGGCTGGTTTCCTGAGCAGGCGGTTGCAGGTGAGAGTTCTTTTTTCATATAGAGTCTGGTCACTGTCTGTGTGCATATGTAGTCTCTCACTAGTGAGAATGTAAACTGTGAAATGAGACCTCTAAACATCCAGGAGAAAAAGTGCCAATAGCTCAAAGAATTGAAAACATAGACATCCTTTGACCCAGGTGGGTGACACAAAAAGATTCTCACGTGAATGCACAAAACGAGTACTGGGATGTGGTTTGTTTTTTAAATTAAATTTATTGGGGTGACACTGGTCAATATGATCATATAGGTTTCAGGTGTGGGTTTCTGTGTGACAAGATCTGTATGTCGCTGTGTGCTTACCACTCAAAGTCAAATCTTCTGTCACAATTTATTAGGATCCCCTTCTCCCCTCACCCGCTTCCTCTGGCAGTAGCGTGGTTTTTTGGTCTTTTGTTTTTAAATATATTTTTATTGATTTCAGAGAGGGAGAGAGAGAAACAATAAGAATCACTGATCGGCTGCCTCCTGCACGCCCCCACCTAGGGATGAAGCCTGCAACCCTGATCGAAGTCGACTCCACGAGTAAGCCAAGATAAGCTACAAGGCAGACCCATGCCAACCATAGGGGCCAACCATAGGGAGATGCAGGCAAAGGCCAAGACAACGTATTGACAGATTTAGGGATTTAAGTGGGATTGAGGAGCAAACTGCGGGGACAGGGTAGCCAGGTGACGGGATCTGACCTCAGTTTTGAGGCCATAGCAACAGGAGGAAGCTGTTGCCTACGCAAAGGGGGAGAAGGACAAGACCATCAGCAGATGCCAGGGAGCCGTCCAGGGCCCCGTGCTGTAAGGGCAGGGTCCAGGCAGCGGCAAGGGGTGGCTGCGTGCCGCGGAGGAGGAGTAATGGCTAAGGGTGGTGCAGAGGGGCCTGAGACCCCAGCAAAGAAAGCGCCAAAGCCTAAAAATGCCTTTCTGGAGAGCCTGCCTAACTCGGTGAAATGCCGATCCCTGGCCCTTAAAACGCTGCAGAAGCGCTGCGATAAGATAGAGGCCAAATTTGATAAGGAATTTCAGGCTCTGGGAAAAAAGTATAACGACATCTACAAGCCCTTACTTGCCAAGTTCCAAGAGCTCACTGGTGAGATGGAGGGAGATGCATCGACCTTGGAGGGTGATGAGGGATATGAGGAGGAGGAGGCGGCAGCAGAGGAGGGGGAAACGGAAGGGTCTGTGGCTGCCAAAAATGAGGGCCCCAACTCTGCGGTGCCCGATGACACCAAGGAATAGGCGGGGACAGAGATGGAAGAGGAGAATGATGACTAAGAAAATCCTGCTTTTTTCCTTTTGAATATTGGTGAACTTGAAAAGGCTCAGGTTTGGGACCAAAATACAATATGAATCAATTCTGACATTCCTGAAAATATATTAAATTGAAACAATCTGATCCTGACCAGCCCGTTTCAACCTTGATTTTCATTTTTGAGCCCAATAAATAATTCAAAAGGTGTTGGAGAAAACGAGTTTAATTAAAAAAATTTTTTTTCATGATCTCTTCTGTGAGGTCGGGAACTAAGGGCTTATTGAGGGTGTCAAGTAGATGTGAAGAACCACTTGGAAACCCAGTCATCACACTATTCATCACACCGCACATGAACACCCAAGCCAAGACTGAACATGTCCTCAGTGCTTAATTCTTCGATTTCTTTAGTCCTGAAATTTCCCACCGCAGAAAAAGCAGAATCCAAGAAAAAAACTCATCTACAAGACTTTGCTTTTGTAACCCAGACCTCAGCTTCACACGTCAGAAAAGAGTGATGGAATCAAGGGAGCCTGTGATGGAGGTCATGACAGTACTGCTAATGAGGCCTGGAAACTGCCACTTCAAATTTTAAAGCATGTTCTGAATGTTTGAACTTAGAGAAATAAATCGTTCTGAGGAGAGTGTATAATCTGTATAATTCTGTCAACATATGTTCATTATTTGGAGTCTCATGTTTATATGTCTTCTTGATAATATCTACAAAGGTGTAAAAAATGTTTTAAGTATTAAATCCCTCTACCTAGCATCAGAAATACTAATTTACTTGAAGAAATGCAGAATATAGCAAATTCTGTAAAGCATGTGCATATAGTGTTACATAGTTTGATCCTTGTGAAATCTTTTTGTCATGTAGCTTTTATTTTCTTACATTTTTATTGATTTCAGAGAGGGGGAGAGAGAGAGAGAAACATCAATAATGAGAGAGAATCATTGATCAGTTGCCTCCTGCACATCCCCTACTGGGGTTCGAGCCTGCAACCCAGGCATGTGCCCTTGACCAGAATCGAACCTGGGCCCATCAGTCCGCAAGCCAATGCTCTATCCACGGAGCCAAATCAGCTAGGGCTGTCATGTAACTTTTAAAATGTAGCTTTTAGAACTCTTCAATGAAGCTAATGTTTGGGAAAATATACATACTTGAAGAACCAATCTTTAAATGTGTGTCCTCACCCTCAGCTCAAAAGCAGAAAAGTTCGTTTGCTGATATGAGCTGTGCCTTCATTATTTTGTATGTATATGTGACATATTAAATATAAAATGGTGCAAAATCAAATTTTACTGCTTGAGGATAGAGTGAATACAGTTAAGGATTTTTAGGAAGGACACATTTAATGTAAAGACTCTTAGCTTCTTTTGTGGGTTTTGAATTGTGTGTGACTCAGTGATCTATAAAAGACATAAGCATGAAGTTGTTTACCACTGTGGTGTTAATAAAACAGTATTTTCAAACAAAAAAAGGACTCGGTACTCTGAATGCCTGCAATCAAATTCCAGCTCTGAGTCCTATTAGCAATGAACCTTGGGCAATTCATTTAATCTGTGTTCAGTTTCTTCTCATCTATAAAAAGAGGATAGTAATACTCCCCCTCTTCCTGGTTATTATGGACAACAATGAGTTAATTCATATACAAGCCCATAGGCCAGTGTCTGAAAAATCAGTAACTATTTCTAGGCACTAATCTCAAAATATGTAGAAAAGACTCTCTTTCACAACAGAATAAGAAATCAAAATATTTATAAGAACCTCTAATAAAAATATGTATAACCTATATGAAAAGAAAAAACAGCCCTGGCTGGTCTGGCTCAGTGGATAGAGCAGCAGCCTGCAGACTCAAGGGTCCCAGGTTCGATTCTGGTCAAGGGCATGTACCTTGGTTGTGGGCACATCCCCAGTAGGGGGTGTGCAGGAGGCAGCTGATCGATGTTTCTCTCTCATCGATGTTTCTAACTCTCTCTCCCTCTCCCTTCCTCTCTGTAAAAAATCAATAAAATATTAAAAAGAAAAGAAAAGAAAACACAGAATGTGCCTTTTTGTTGCTGTTAATCCTCACTTGAGAATATTTTTTCCATTGCTTTTTAGGAGTGTGGAAAGGAGAGGGAAGAGATACAGGGAGAGACACATCGATTGGCTGCCTCCTGCACATACCCTAACCTGGGCTGGGGATCGAGCCCACAACCTAGGTATGTGCCTTGACCAGAATCGAACCCATGACCACTGAGCAAAACCAGCTAGGACCAGAATAGGCCTTAGGATGGTAAGATTAAATATCACAGAAGTGTCCATTCTTCCCAAATTAACTTTTAATTTATCACACTTCAAATGAAAATCCAAACTGGATCTGCAAATTAATATAATTACCTGAATGTTCACCTGTAAGACTAGCTAAGAAAACTAGCAATATGTATACAACTTAGAATACAAATTCAAACAAACTTTTAATTGAATAAAATACTAGACAGGGAAAGAAATACCAGACTTGACAACACAAAAATTAATTATAAAGATTTGAAAGCACATTTTCAAAAGCAAACAACGAACCGGGAATAAAATCGGCAATAAATATGACTGGCAAAGGGTTCAATAGTCTTAATATAATAAAGAGTTCATATGAAACAAATGAAAATCATTTCGTCTCAATCGCGAATGCATAAAGAACATCAGTAGACTACTTTAGGAAGGGAAAATCCTGCAACCCTGTTTGGGGCAGAAAAACATCCTGAAAGGGCAGCACTAAGAGGAGAAGGGCTCCCAGCTGCATGCTCTGGGCAGCAATCTCTCTTCCACTTGTAGGACTTTAGCTATAGGGTTTTCTAACTACTGGTCACGAATACTGTTGGCCACTATCCCCAGGATACAGGCATGTTTATAATCCCCTTTACAAAGTCAAACAATTTCCACCACTTCCGAACTGGATTGATCTTTACCCTCTGTTTCCTGCAGTGCTTATTTGATAGTTCCTCAGAAAGCCATAAAACTTGCATGATAACATCTAGCAGGATACCCTCCCTTCAAGGCAGGTTAAACACTACCACACATCAACCATTTTTAATCTATTATAGGCCCACATTAGTAAGCAATGCGCAAAATAACTAGCAGAAAGAAAGGCAACGTGCATTACACATTTAACTCAAGCTCTAAGAGAATTCTGCAGAAAACGGTAGCATGCTGACGCTCACTGCCCAACAGGGCACAACAGCTCTCCCTGCCTGAGAATTTACACTCAATGTGTACACAGATGCATTTGCTTATGCACACATGTACACTTTTTTTCTTATCGAGGTAAAAATCCACAAAAGGTAATTAACTATTTTAAATGAACAATTCGGTGGCATCCGTACATTCACAATGTTATATAACCATCACTTCTATCTAATTCACTTTTTTCACACACAAATATTTTAGAGGTAAATATCAATAAAGTGGATCAGTGTTGTGTAAATATGTAAAGTAACCTCTACATAGAAGCAATATAAAATTTTACAAATGATATTAAATTTCTTAATAAAAGTAATTTTTTTTTAGAAAATAATCAGAGCTTGTAAGGATTAGGTGAAATGGGTACTCGCATATACTGATGATAATGTATAAGCTGATATAATTCATTAGAAAAATCAATTTAGCAAAGATACCTATCAACAGATTCAAAATGATATATCCTAATCCAATTTCACCCTTGGGACCGAATCATTAAAAAGCAATCTGAAAGGCAAAAAGAAACACTTTTATACACAAAAAATGTTTGATATAGTCTTACTAAAAATGAAGGAAGGAAAAAGGTCTGTCATATAAGACCTTTATTATACGTTGCAGCATGATCCCTCTATTCCCACTTTGCTGAGTTTTTATCTAATATGGGTGTTGCATTTTGTCGATTATTTTTCTGCATATATTGATACAATCATGTGATTTTTGTCTTTCAATCTGTTTATGTGATGTATCACATTTACTGATTTGTGAATATTGTACCAGCCTTACTTCCCTGGAATAAATCCCACTTAGTCATGGTGTCTGATCTTTTTAATATATTGCTGGATCTGATTTGCTAGTATTTTATTGAGGAGTTTAGTGTATATGATCATCAGGAATATTGGCCTATAATTCCTTTTCTTTGTAGTGTCTTTATCTGGTTTTGGGATTAGGATAACTCTGGTCTGAAAAAAAAGAGGTTGGAAGTGTTCCTTCCTCTTGGATTCTTCTGAATTGTTTGAAGAGGATGGGTACTAATTCTTTGATAATGTTTGGTAAAACTCCCTTGTGAAGCTGTCCAGACCATTTTTTTTACTGGTGTGTTTTTTTATTACTACTTCAATTTCATCAGTTATTGGCCTGTTCAGATTTTCTGATTCTTCCTGATTCAATTTTGGAAGACTGTATTTTCTAGGAATTTGTCCATTTCATCCATTGTCCAGCTTGTTGGCATATAATTGTTCACAGTATTTTCTTACAATCCTTTGTACTTTTGTGGTGTCAGTTGTTACTTCACCCCTTACATTTCTGATTCTATTTATTTGGGTCCTCTCTGTCTGGCTAAAGGTTCATCAATTTTATTTATCTTTTCAAAGAACCAGCTCTTGGTTTTATTGATCTTTTGTATTATTTTTTTAGTCTCTATGTAATTTATTTCTGCTCTAATCTTTATTATTTCCTTCCTTCTACTTTCTCTGAACTTTTCATGTTGTTCCCTTTCTAATTATCTAAGTATAAGGATAGATAGTTTATTAATAATTTTTTTTGTTTGTTTGTTTTAGTAGGCCTGTAGTGCTATGAACTTCTCTCTCAGAACTGCTTTCGCTGTGTCCCATAGATTTTGGGTTGTTGTGTATTCATTTTCATTTGTTTCCAGGAAGTTTTTTTATTTTTTTCTTGATCTCGTTGGTAACCCATTCATTGTTTAATAACATGCTAATTAGCCTCCATGTACTTGAATGTTTTTGAGTGTTTTTACTGTAGTTGATTTCTAGTTTCATGCTATTGTGATCCAAGAAGATAGTTTATATTATTTCAATCTTCTTGAACTTGTAGCTACTTGTTTTGTGTCCTAACATGTGGTCTATCTTTGAGAATGACCCATGTGTGCTTGAGAAGAATGTACATTTTGCAGCTTTGGGGTAAAATATTCTATAAGAGTCAATTAAATCCATCTGACCCAGTGAGTCCTTTAGAGTCACTATTTCCTTGTTGATTTTATGTCTGAAAGATCTATCCAGTGAAGTCAGTGGGGTGTTAAAGTCCCCTACTATGACTGTATTGCTGTTGATCTCTCCCCTTAAAGACCCCAAAAGTTTTTTTTTTATATATATATTTAGGTGCATGTATTTTTTAAAATATATTTTATATATTGGGTGCATGTATGTTTACCAAGGTTATATCCTCTTACTGGATTGATCGTTTTAGTATTATGTAGTGACCTTTATTACCTCTTGTTATGGCCTTCATTTTGAAGTATATTTTGTCTGATATGAATATTGCTACCCCAGTTTTTTTTCATTTCCATTTGCATGGAAAATTTTTTTCCATCCCTTCACTCTCATCCTGTGTGAGTCTTTTGTTCTAAGACACATCATAATTAAAATGCCAAAGGTTAAAGACAAACAGAGACTCTTAAAACTAGTAAAAGCAATTAGTTACCTACAGGGGAGCTGCCATAAGACTGTCAGCTTATTTCACAACAGAAACTTTGCAGGCCAGAAGGTATTGATGCAAAATATTCAAAGTGATGAAGAACAAGGACTTAGAATTGAAGGAGAGATCAAGTGTTTCATAGGCAAAAAGAGCTAAAGGAGTTTATCACCACTAAAGCAGTCTTACAAGAAATGTTAAAGGGACTTCTTCATAA